GATGGTGTTTGCCAACCAAATGCCAACAGGGGTGAATGATGCTGGCGGACAAGGCGGCCTTGTTGTATTGTCTCTTCCAATGTTGCCAAAGCAGATGGTGTGAGTGACCAGATATTCTTCACGCGTCGCCTTTATTGAACGGTCGTGGCCTTGTTGATTCGAACAAAGGTCCAAAGTGTTTTTTTTCTCACTGTCATTCTGATTGTTGCAGAAGCAAGCGAGAAGGGGACAGCGGAAGTGACCATTCTTCAAAGCAAACCAGCACCAGAAAAGTGCCTGCCAGAATCCTGGGCCCTCAAGGTTTGACACGTCGTTCAACAAAAAGGTTACTCCATCAAAGACACACTGCCTTCCATACTCTGTGGCCCGAGGCGCCTGCCACATTGACCCCCAAGACGATATGCTTCATTTTGGTCTGTGCCGATGCCTTCCATCACGGGAGATGCTATTCCATCGATGGGTTGTATGACTGAGTTGAGGGAGGCTCTAATCAGACATCTTGTCCGTCAGGCCATGTCTTCTCGTTGGACCCAGCTCATCATGATGCATTATATGATGCCAGGCACATGATTATCGGCACAGAAACGAGAGAGACACCATGATGCCGATTTCAATCGGCGTATGCAACCAAAGAAGCTTCGGTCCTACGGACGATCCGCGTCTCGCTGGCGTTCGACATTCGTGATGACCTCGGGTCTCCATCAAGTGAACGGCGGGGGGGACGGAGTGGAGCGAGACACCAAGTTGGCGCAGCTCCGAGCTCGGCGATAAGATAAGACGGGTCAGTAGTTGCATTGGTTTGAGCGGTATATGGGTTATGCAGCCCGGTTCATGGAGGCGGGTGGACGGTGACGACAAACCACAACATACCTGGCAATCCTTCAATTCACAGCAATACCATTGTGAGTTCCCGCCCTACATAGCCTTCGGCTGGGACACGACCTACATGCTTGCGATCAAGCTCAAATTCGCCAAGTAAGGTCAAACCTGACGACCCAAGCTAATGAATACATGGTCAACAAAAAAAAGTTCAACAAAGTTGGGACTACAGAAACACGCCGCGGCTATCACCGGAAGCAGCATACCCCACATGCACCTAACCATAGGGTCTCTCTCCGCATCAGAAGCACCGCTCAAACGGGCATACCCCTCGTAGCGCAGACAACCTCGGATCAAAGTGGCTCTTTTTGGTCCTCGAGGCTCGGCAGCCCACGGTAAAGCATTTCCCCTTGGTCCATCAGCGCTCGTGCACCCCCAGGTACGGTCCCCCCCCAACCCCCCAAGGCTCGAGGCTTACCCCCCCCCCCTGGAAGCCATAGTGACCACCGCCTTGGACCTGTTTGAGCCGAGCCCAAATATATTCTTCTCCTCGACGTGAATCTCGCGCCTCAACCTGCCTTCATTCACATTCCTCTCTCCACCTCTCCCTATACCCATTGCGCCGCCGAGTCACGTCGAGTGAGCAGTTGCTG